GGCGCCAATCGTTTATGAAAGTTTCCTCTAGTGATTTTAATGTACAGTTAGGTTTGAGAAGGACAATATTAGTTGATAGTAGAATCAAATGAAGTTTTGACGGGCATTTTTTCTTACAAAAATGTATTACAGATATATTTTCCAAGTATCTGTAAATATTGCGTGTGTGTATGTGGCTATTAGGGTGTGATGTGCAATGCAGTTCCATCAGAAGATTTTGAAAAACCCTCTGGCCTAACGCAGTGCTTCTCAAACTTCAGCATGTGTAGTGGTTACCTGGGGTTTGTTACCACACGCATTTCCTGGGCAGCAGCCGCACAGACGCTGAGTCTGCAGCTCCGTGGTGGGGGCCCCCACCCCGAGACCCTGCGTTCTGTCCAGCTCCCGGCCGATGCTAGTGCGGTTGGCGGCAGGCAAGCACACACAGAGACTGATACCCCCGCCTGGAACAAAGATAAGCTGCTTTCCTTCCCACGCCATTCTTGGATACTGCTGGAGGGCACTTGTCTGTGTACAGCCAAGTGTTACTTTTTACTTAGTTTGTGTATTTATTTGTAGCAGTTTCGGGTGGTGGGGAGTGACTACAGGCTCCCAACCCCCGTGTTTGCGTTCTGGCATTTGGTTGTGATCTTGGAGAAGCTGCCCAGGTCCGGCCTCAGTGGGGACAGGGTGTGCTCTGTCTGAAAGGGGTTCTCCCCTCATGCTGTCCTAATTGTGTTAGTCAGCTCGGGCTGCCAGAACCAAACACCACGGACCGGATGGCTGAAACAACAGACACTTGTTCCTCACACTTCTGGAGGATGGAAGGAAGTCCAAGATGAAGGTGCCGGCGAGCCGTTCCTGGTGAGAGCTCTCTTCCTGGCTTACAGCAGGCAGCCGCCTTCTGGTTGTGTCCTCAGGTGGTTGAGAGAGGAAGCTCTGGCTTCTCTTCCTCTTCCCGTGAGGGCATTAATCCCATTATGGAGGCTCCACCCTCATGACCACATCTAAACCCAATTACCTCCCAAAGGCCCCCGCTCCACCTGTCACCACACTGGGGGCTTTTCTCAATCATTACTGTCCTCCATCGTGTGTCTGGGGATGGAGGTCACTGCCCTTGTCTGCCTGGATCCTTCACGTCCAGCAACTTTTTCTGGGGGTGACAGGAATCCTCCCATCACACCCAAGCCCCCACGGGTCCAGGGATCTCTGCGAGGCCATCTAAGGCCCCTCCTGTCTGGATCCACTATCTGGCCATTGCCTCTCCCGGGATTCATGCCTCCCTTTGAGTTCCAGAACATGGCACCTAGACTTGCATCATTTCCTCCCCCTGGCCAGGGTTCCACTGGAGGGCACCCCACTCTCTGCAATGGGCACAGACCTGCAGCGGCACCAAAATTCTCCTTTTCTTTCCCATCATCTTCTGAGTAGTGAACACAGGGATTATATGTTCGTATGGGATGAACAGAGAGGAGGAAACATGGGGAGAGAAACATATAGACACGTTTCAAATTACATCGCCATGACCGTTATCATTGTCACAGAGCAATGTTCTCTTTTTAAAGCAAAACCGTTGTTTTCATCTGCAGGTATAGGACACCTGTTGCTGGTTAGCAAGTGAGTAACTTTGCAGTGGCCAGGAAAAGCAAAACCAAAGCCCCTGCTGGAGTCAGTCTTCTGCTAACAGCATTGCATGGGAGGAACACGAAGGGAAGAGGCAGCAGAAATGAGAGAAAGCTGAGGAAGCTGTCCGATGGGTGCGAAGGGCCTGGAATGGAGAGGTTGGGGCGGGGACTCTGCATTCCTTGGAATCCTGGCTCTGCCACTGACTTCAGGCTGGTCATCGGGAACCTCTCTGAGCCTCAGTTTTTCATCTGCAAAAAGAGGACAATAACATCTATCTTTATTTCATAACTCCAAAAAGAATGATATGATTTCTGCCAAGTGGTAAAGACTGCACACAAAGGAGTTATTATGATTACAGGGAACGATAAGAACCGAAGTTCATGCTGTTGGCATCAACGTTTGGGGATGTGGGGGGTTGTGAGTTTAGACAGGGTGGGAAGGGCCTTCAGACAGATAGACAGGCGCAAGCAGAACAGGGCTTCAGGTGATGCACTCCCACCCTTTAGGGACAGTGAAGAGACCAGGTGGGCGGAGCTGAGGGAGGGAGTCGGTAAGGGTGCTGGGGCCAGAACTGAAGGCCGTTGAAGCCTGCCAGCGCGTTGGGGTGTGTTGGGGTGGACAACAGGGAACCGCTGTGGGCCCTTGAGAAGGGGAGGGCCTGAGGGAAGTGCTGAGGTAGGAAAAGTGATTCGTGGCCTCCCACAGCTGTTCTAATGGTTAATGATAGGCCTTTTCCAAGTCCCATCAAACAACAGTATTACCTCCTGAAGCTGTTCTTGACCTTCTTGGGAAAGATTTACTTCAGCCTCTGGGCTCTCATGGTTCTCTCCTGTTGGCTTGTCTCTTTGGCAACTGCTGTACCTGCCTGAGCCTTTCTGGAAACATCCCTTATTCCTCCTTGGTTCCCCCACCCTGCAGAGGTTGTGAGCCCCATTTACAGGGCTCTGTTCATGGGAAGCAGCGGTCCTCAACCCTGGCTGCCCATTAGAATCACCTGAAGATTGTTTTTTTGAACTGTCTTCATGTCCAAGTTATACCCCTGACCAATGGCATTGTCACCCCGGGGTGCAACTGTGCCATCAGGGTGGGTTTCAGATGTCCCAGGGAATTCCTATGTGCGGTGAGGGTGGAGACCCACAGACTGAGTCTGACAGTCCTGCACCCTGCCCTGGGGTTAGCGCTCAGGCATGGGCGCGCCTGGAGGGCGTCGGAGTGTGGGAGGGAAGCATTAGGGTTTCAGTTTAGATTTATTTGAAATCCCATTCTTTTTTCATGTGCATATTTTAAAATCTACTTAACGTGGGGGCAGCAGTAATGACAGTAATGGCCCACGGCCCCTGAGCGCTTACTGGACCAGGCTCTTTCCTAAACACTGTACACAAAGCAGAGCTTAGTGCTCCACAAAAACCTGACGGACAGACACTGTTACTTTACAGATGAAACCCTGAGGCAGGGAGGTTAAACAACTGGCCCAGCACCGCACCACTGGAGAGCAGGTTTCCCCGGGTTCAAACCCAGGCTGACTCTAGAGCTTTCCTTCCCTTCCTTCCTTCCTTCCTTCCTTCCTTCCTTCCTTCCTTCCTTCCTTCCTTCCTTCCTTTCCTTTCAATGTACTTTTATTGGGGTGATATTGGTTAATAAAATATAGCTTTCAGGTGTACAATTCTACAATATATCATCTGTGTGTGATATTGTGTGTTCACCACCCCAAGTCAAGTCTCCTACCATCACCATTTATCCCTGCACACTCTCTGCTACCTCCCCTCACTCCTTTCCCCTCTGGTTCTAGCATCCACCTTGTTTTCACAATGCTAATCTGTCATCATGGTACACATGTCTAATTTATAAACAGATAAATAGTCCACAAAGAAGACACAGATATGAGGGAGATCCACTTGACGTTTTTTTACTGAAAAAATTTCATAATCAAATAAACCATGGGGGCATCGAGGCAGGGCCTAAGTCTCACTCTTCTTTCTGTTCCCCCGCCCAGAAGCTACCAGGCATCTGGGTCCTCACATCTGCTCACTAGATACCTGCCTGCTCCCAGAACACCCACCGACTGACGACCGTGGAAGATGGGCGCATATCTACAATGGAATATTACGTGGCCATGAAAATGAAATTTTACCATTTGTGACAACATGGAGGGACCTACAGGGTATTACGCTAAATGAAGTAAGTCAGACAGAGAAAGACAAACACCATAGGATTCCACATATGGAATCTAAAAAACAAGGTAAACAAACAAAAGAGAAACAAACTCATGGATCCAGAGGACAAACCGATGGTGGCCAAGCAGGAGGGGTTGGGAGGCTGCGTGGAAACGTTGAAGGGATTAAGAACTACGAATTGGTAGTTGCGAAATGGTCACAGAGATGTGAACTCTAGCAGAGGGAATACAGTCAGTAATAGTGTAATAAGTGTGTAGGTGTCAGGGTACTAGACGTAATGGGGGGATCGCTTTGTAAGTTCTATAAATGTCTAACCACTAAGTTGTACATCTGAAACTAATATAATATTGAATATCAACTGTAATTGAAAAATAAAAAACTAAAAACACGAATGTTTATCAACACTTTCTATGTGCTAGGAACTCGCACACTAATCCCCACACAATCCTGTGAGGCAAGGGATATGAATACGTCCATTTCGCAGATGATGACACTGAGCAACTCTGCAGTTTGCCCGAGTCCAGAACCTGAAGCCAAACTGTGGGACTGCAGAGCTCGTGGTCTCCACGCGTGGCCCAGCCAATAGGGAAGCACTTTTGAGAGGGGCGGGGTTGGGGTTGAAAACATCCGGAAGGAGGTGGAGGCTGACGATTCGCCTCTTCACCAGGTAGCTGCCTCTGCCAGGAGTGCCCTTCCCTGTTCGCCTTGCAGGCAAACTCCTACCTACCCTTCTGGCCCCAGCTCAAAAGCTGCCTCTTCCGGGAAGCCAGCCTTCCCTCACACCGCAGTTAGTTGCACTGCTCTGTGGTTCAAACTTTATCTTCCTCGCTGGAGTTGGAGCTTCTTGAGGACAGGGCTCGGTTCTACTCAAGAGACATCCAAGGAGCCAGCTCAGCAAACTTACACCGGCGGCCCGAGCCCGTGCCCACATTTCCTACCAGACTAGGGGAGTCCCATCCCCTGGATTTTTCCTCTGTGGGCTCCACTTCCTTTTCCTCTTCTTCTCCCTCTTCCTTCCTCTCCTTCTGCCTCCGGACTTGTTTCTCTCCTGTCCATACTCCTTTCTTACTGCTCCTTCCCTCCCCTCTGGACCGTCCTCCCCACCCACCCCCAATTTCTCCCTCCTCCCTCCCTGAGTCTCGTCCTCTGGGCCTGGCAGCTGCAGTTCCCCTGGAGGCCTGCAGAGAGCGCTGCCACGCCGCATCGCTGCTCTCGCTCTTCCTGTGAGGTCAGGTGGGAAGAATCGGCCTGGAAGATCCGGCGAGTGGACGCGCCTGCAGGTGGGTGTCGCGGCCCGGGGCGCGGGGAAGCGGGGCGCATCCTTCCCCTACCGCGGGCCTGGCTTCAGAGCTGGGCTCGGCGGCGCGGGCCGGGTTCCTCCTGCCGCGGGAGGGAGCACCCCACTTCTCCCGTCAGTAGGGTCAGGTGCACCGAGGGCCGGCAGCGCCCGCAGCCCACGCAGGGGGTCGGGATGACAACGCACAGAGGGACTGCGGAGGACCCACTCGGCCTTCTGCGGGGGCCAGCAGGCTTCAAACACGGGATCCGCCTGTCTCGGGCTCCGGGCCAAGGACAAGAGATGGGGGCTCTTAATCTTTTTTCGGCGTGTATGTTACAAAGGCTTTCGAAAATTTAAATGAAAACTGTAGCTTGTCTCCTGACGAAAAAATGGCCTTTACATAGACTCGGGGAGAGGCATGGAAGGGCCCCACCCCCAGCCGCCGGCCACAGGCACCCTTGCGGTCCGCGGAGCGGGCCCTCTCGGAGCCACAGAAGAAGCACCCATCCGGTATTTTAGGAAGGCTGGCCCTGCCCTCCTGTTAGCAAAGGAGGCACGGGTGTTACTCGAGGTGTGGGACAGGTGAGGGGCGTGCCCTCTGCAGGTCTGTTCCTCCGCCAGGTCTGGGGCTGCGTGGCCACCAGTGCCCTCTGCTGCCAGGCGGGGATCCGAAGTGGCTCCGAAATGAGCCTGGATCGCCTCCTAGGAGGGGGAGGAAAGCGCAGGCCCTTGGCATTGACTCCCCAGGGAACAGCACATGGGGCCAGTTTTTTTAACAGAAGGAAATTGAGAACCTGGGGTTCCTGGGGCCCTGGACTTGTTAGTACCTAGAGAAGGTCTTCGTGTTCTTCCTTTGCTGCCCATAGAGGAATGGTCCTGGGCAAGCGAGGTACACCTCCAGCTGGGCCTGCCTCAGAGGGGCGTTGGGAGGTGTGAGATGAGCCTTCTAGCACTTTCCACAGTGCCTGGGCGCAGCAAGGGTTCCGTCCCCACTGTTGCTGGTGGTGGTCTATAATAAAGCTTCCTTCTCCAAGGATTCTTCTGGTAGTTTCCCCAGCGGACTGTATGTCTGAAAGGTTTTTGTTTGGCAAACAACTTGCTTTTCTCTCTCTTTCCTTTTTATTAATTAGACTATTAAGCAGTGCTTGCTTAGTCTGGATCACCAATGCAAGCACCTAGAACTGCAGTTTTTCCATCGAAAGCAAGCGTTTCTTTTTCTCTGGGAAATTGGTTTTTTGTTTGTTGGTTGTTTTTTTTTTTTTTTTCAGCCTTTTTGAGGTCTGAGGAAAGGTGAGGCCTAGCAGGGACCCAGAGCTCCAGGGAGGATGGTGCGGATCTTGGCCAATGGGGAAATCGTGCAGGACGATGACCCCCGTGTGAGGACCAACACCGGGCCACGCAGCAGCACCTCTCGGCAGGTAGGCACCCAGCCCCCGTGGAAGGGGTGCAACTGTCCTCTGCCCTCTGCCCTAGATACTTGTTAGCTCCCAGAAGCTCCCTTGCTGGTCATTAACCTCTAACCCGAAGTTCTCTTTGCAGAGAGCTGGGCTGGAGAGGGCTGGGGTGCCAACACTTGGGGAGAACCTGTGGTAGATTTGCCCAGCCCCCTGCCTCCCCAGCTCCTCCTCCTTCGGGCAGCCTTCCCAGACTTCACAATCCAAGAGTTCTCTCGCCTTTAACTTGGTTAGCAGACTCCACCGGAGCCAGTGTCTTTCTTTTAAGGCTCGAATGGAAGAGAGAGAAGCTGGAGGGTAATCGGAGGAGATGAGCCCATGGCCACACCATGTTGGTTTCAAAGGAGGGAGTGAGGAATGTTAAACATGCCTGCCTGAATGCCATGCCCAGTAGTCTAACTGGCCTTGACCCCTGGGCACCTTCTTCCTGGCACCACTTGGGGAGCGCAGACTGGCAATTTCTGTGCTCTGAGAGCTTGTGACTCAGTAGCTGGGATTCCTGTGTTTGGCTGTAGGGATCACTGAAAAGGGGGGGCATGGCCCTGGGTGACTGTAGGGGGGGGCAGGGCCCAGCTCACGGGGTTCACTTCCACTGGGTACCTTACTCCCAGGGAAGCTGTCTCAGGATTCATTCATTTTTTTCCGTCTTCACCTTCCAGAGCCTTCTCAATAGAGGCCACGCTGCTCCCCTGGGGGGTCCTGGCCTCCGGCAGCAGCAGGGGGTGGCCAGGCTGGGTGCTGCTCAGTCCCCCTTCAACGACCTCAACCGGCAGCTGGTGAACATGGGCTTCCCCCAGTGGCATCTCAGCAACCATGCGGTGGAGCCCGTGACCTCCATCCTGCTCCTCTTCCTGCTCATGATGCTCGGTGTGCGTGGACTCCTGCTGGTGGGCCTCGTCTACCTGGTGTCCCACCTGAGTCAGCGGTGACCTCTGCAGGGGGACAGGCTCAGGGGAGAGGGGGTTGCTCGGCTTTGGTGTAAGAGCAGGCGCATTGGGAGTGGATCCAGTGGTGCCTTGAAGGTCTGCTTAGGGAACGTGTCCATGTACAAGCACGCTGCAGAGGGAACTTGTAGTCCAGCGTTCCTCAGCAGCAGGTGGATCCCTTGAGAGGTTTTTAAGTGGCATCGAGCCTGAGTTAAGCACAAACTCACAGCAAGAAAGGGATTCCCTTCCCCTTCTCTTCCAATCCTTTTTCGCCAAGAAGACAGTCTCGGCTCAGCACCAGTATGTCTCACGCCCCTGGCACCCACGCTGACTTCCCCTGCTACTAGGGAACAGGTCTTAGGTGTGGGGCAGGTGGGAAGACTGCCCCACACTTTTCCAGACTTTTATAGCCCTGTTTTAATGGTATATTTTTAATGGCTCCCTTTTATTTATGACAGGTGGTACTGGCATCCTATTAATTGTGGTGATGTTTTCAATAAATAAATTCCAGTAAAAATGAGTCTACATTATGTAGAAACATTAATCAATAATGGTGATGCTGTACGTGGGCCTGGAAGACATGGGGAAGGTGGTTGGGATTGGGATTAGGGAACAGGTAGAAGTGAGTATTTGACCATGGAGTATAGTTCATAACTTTTTCCCACAGGCCCCGGGACCTGGGAGGGGCTCAGGTACAGCCTGAGTTGGGCCTCTTGTTTGATGCTTAGGTGACTACTAGGCTCGCTCTGAAATGCTGGCTGGAAGGGCTGATGGGCTGTGGGGTCGGGACCCTGACCAGAAGCCCTCGTAGCCTCTGACCGTGGCACTGTCTCCATAGAAAGCGGGAGCTTTGGCGTTGACCCTCAGGGCATGGGGTGGCGGGGCGGGGGGTGGTGAGAGTGCCTGCTTTTTGTGAGAAAAGGCTGTGCTGGTGAGCCCTGGGCTGCATGGGGGTCCTGTTGGGGGCATGGGGATGGCATCAGGTGGTTGAAGGTTAAGGGTCAGAGAGAAGCTGAGTGAACTTGAGGACTTCCGCGTCTCAGGGACTAGATCGCTCACCATCTTCTTAGGGTCCTTTGGGGCTGGGCAGTTTGGGAGAGAAAGGCAGGACTGGGGGATTCTCCAAGGCCGGTGCTGGAAGAGCACTCATGGGATGCGTGAGGGGACGTGGGGGAGAGAGACGGAGGCGGGTTCTGTCCCTCCTTTGACAACCTGCTGTGCTGCCCAGAACCAACCCCTGCCCCGCCCCCGCCCCATCCCTCTGCTGCCCTGAGGGGGCTGGTGGCCTTCATCACGGTCATTGCTGGGGAGACTTGTGTTGGGACAGGACTCCTATTCACTGTTTTCTGTGTCTTTATTTCCCAGTGGCTGTTGAAACATGTCCCCTTTATGATGGCTTTAAAGAGGCAAGGGCACCGGGCCCTTGGCTGGGGGGACCACAGACAAGGTCTGACTCGCGGCAGCTCCTCCAGGGCCTGGACAAGGGAGGTGGCGCCCAGCCTCACCGTGGCCGGCTGGTCCCCCTGCATCTCCGGCCCTGGCACATCTGCCTCCTCACCCAGCAGCTGCTGGGGAAGGGATGTTCCCACCCACGTCTCCCTCCCCTGAAACTCCCCGCTGGGCTTGTGTCTCTGGTTGGGTTTTCCTTTTTCTTTTTCCCTTTGCAAAACTATGGGACTCTCTGATAAAATAGTAAATCTTAAGTGGGCTCCCAATCTATAAATACCTAGGAGGGATATGCATCTCAGTCCACAAGTTCGGGGCTGAGAATTGTGTCTTTTTCCAGCATTCAGTTTCCATCCCCAAAGTCCAAGCCCTGGGAGAGGAGGGGGCTGGTGCCTCACTTCCAGGCAGGCACAGGGGGGCAGGAGGAGCCCTGGGCGGCAGTGACCACACTGGGGCAGAGGCACCTCCCACAGAGGCACTACCCAGCCTCAGGGAAAGGACTGGGGACTCCAAGTGAGCTGTGCAAGGAAGCAGGAGTGCTGTGTCTTGTCCCGAGTGTTGACTGAGCTCCGACACACAGGACAGGGTCCCAGCAGAGCTGCTCTGTTGAATCGGGCTGGGGGCCCTGGGGGCCACCTCTTGACCCTTCTTTTCTTAACCCACCTTCCCCGTACTCCTTGGGCTGTGGCAGAGTGAGCTAACCTCTGCTCTGCCCTGCTCTCTGAAGTCCAGGGTCTGAAAGTGTGCTGGGCCCGCCTACCCTGCAGGCCGAGGCAGCGTCTCAGAGGGAAGGCGCCGCCTGGGATTGTGCAGCCCGTCTGAGCTGTGAGTCTCTCTGCCTCCGGTTTGGGTGCCCTTCAGAGAGGCTCCCGCCCGCACGCACAGAAATTCTGGCACGCGCGTGTTCTGAGCAGGCAGAGGCACTTCACTCTGGCAGCCAAATACAGATCTTGATGGGCCTCTGAGTGACTGCGGGCCACCTTGGTCTAGCAGGTGTCTTAGTCCTTGAAGAGGGTGGGCTCTCCTCCTCTGCCCGCCCTCTGCCCCATCCCACCCACTGTGTGACAGGACCCCCCAGACCGGACCGCCTCGAGGGCAGATTTCTGGGGAGGTTTCTGCTAATCTTCAGGGCTAATCCTCAGAGCTCTGTCTCAGTGTCAGGTTGGATTTGCAGCCCCACTGCCTCTGGGAGCAATGCCACTGCACCCCGCCCCCCCACACCCCCACGCCTTGAGCCACAGCTGGATCCCAGCAGGCCTTTGCCACCCTCTGGGGCTGGAGAGGGAAGCCCCTCCCCTCTGAGGAGTTATTTTGACTCCCCAGCCGGGGCTGCCTGGTGAGCAGAGCTGCTGGTTGGACTGTCTCAGCTCGATCTCCTGGACTGCCGGCCTCTTGGGCCATTTCTTTCATACATTCCAAGCTCTTTGCTCTGTGAGCTGTGCCTTTCCCCGCCCCCCCGATAGCCTGCCGGTGGGGGTCACTATTTCCATCTTCCCAAAGGAGACATGAAGCCATGGATCAGGCAAAACAGCACCTCTGGTTCCGCCAGTTCCCTGAGGAGGCCTCTCCTGGCTCCCCCCTCTCTGGGCCTGGGTTCGACTCCCTCACCAAGGACTCTTGCTCGGTGCGTTGAGGAAGAAGCCTTGGTGTGGTGGGCAAAGCCTCTGCCCTCAGACGCCTGGCCTGGCACTTCCCCCACCCTGGCCAGCTGGGCCCCAGAGGAAGCCTGTTTGCAGGCCCTGCTCTGCTTTGTGGGTCCATGACCTTGGCCACTGAAGCCTATTCCTCATCTCTGAGAAGGTGTAGTGATCTGTGTCCCTCCTGCCTCTTGGGGCCTCGGGGATCACACTTGGCATGGTGGGTGAGAGAGATGGACAGGGGCGTGGAAAGGAGGGACTATGCCGGCCCCCACTCCTCCTCCACAGATGCTGCACCTTAAACTCCACAAGGCCCCTGTGCTGTGGGCTCCGCCCAGGGTGGCCACAATGCTCGTGGGACTCCCGGCTGTGCTTCTGAGACCAGGCCTGCCCCAGCTGTTAGAGAAGCAATGCAGCTGCTTCTCTGCTCCTGGAGGCTGAGGGGCTCATTGCAAGTCTCTGGTGTCAGGACAGGATGGATTTTCTGAGTGTCATGTGCCTGACACTGTGCTAAGCACTTGATGTCATTTAATCGTCACCAGAACTTTATAACAGGTACTGTCACTGTCATCTTTATTTCACTGCTGAGCACACTGTGGAGCATTTATAACCTGCTCCAGGACCCTGAGGGGGCTGGGGTTGGAGCGAGGGTGCAAACTGAGGCCAAGGTCCACGTTCTTAATCACTCTATTTTGCCTCTGGCTCTTTATCAGAATCACCTACAGACTTGTCACAGACGCAGATGCCCAGGCTTCATGTTCTTTCCCAGAAGTGCTGGGATGTGGTCCAGGGCCTGCCTTGCACAAGCCCTCCAGGTGATTTTGATGGCAGGGTTAGGGCGGGGCAGTTTAGCCCCTGACTGTGCGAGCACGCCAGTGGCTGACAGACAAGAGGGGAGTCCCCCAAGTTCACTCAGAGAAGAGGCAGATGGGGAAGGAGCAGGCCTCACTGCCTGCTGGGACCCAGGGTGACCTTCAGACCTTCTCTGGGAGGGCAGGGGGCACAGGGTGGGTGCGAGGAGGTTGGCAGCAGCTTTTCAGCTGGGTGGTCTCTGCAGCTTCCTAGCTCTGGGTGCAGTCACTGAATGGGGCTGCAGCCCTCTTCTCTGCACTCTTGAATACATGATGTTTTCATTTCTGACAAGGGGAGATATCCAATGACCTTCAACAGGGTCCCCGAAGGGCCGCGCAGGGGTGGTGCGGGGGAGGGCAGGAGGTGGCAGAGGGCTTTGCTGCCACAGCCGGACAGAGGACAGGCCTGCAGCCTGTCCAGCAGCAGGGCATGTCAGTGGGAGAAGCAAAGCTCAGCCCTCCGCCCAGGGCCCCAAAGAGCAGTAAGAGAAACCCTAGGAGATCGAGCGCTTCAGTGGGATTGCAGAGGGCTGTGTGTGTGTCTGACCCGCTGGTCTGGGGGTGGGAGGTGTGCTAAAACCATTTGTCTGCAGCGACCCAGACCTTGGGAGGGAGAGGGGGAAGCTGTCCAGAATGAAGTCTGAGCCTTTAGGTCAAGGGCCCCAAGTGCCGGGGAGGCTGAGCACCGGTGGGGGCAGGAGGGCTGGTTTGCATTCCCTGGGCCACCAGCTTTAATCCCGCTGATATGTGTGTGTGGGGAGGGGGTGGGCCGTTGCAGGAGGCCAAATCCCAAATCCACTTCCAGTTAACCAGGGACCTTGGGCCAAGTCCGCGCCCTCCTGTGTCCTCGTCTGCACCGCACAGGGGCGGGAGGATGCATATATTAATACATGGGAAGCACTTAGCAATTTCTGGCCCAAGGTCAGTACTTGACAGTAATACCATATTCACAAAGCAATGGCATTAGGGTTTACATCTATATATTACACACGCACACACACATTAGAGCAACTCACATTTGACTTAAATCTAGTATTTTAGAAAGGAAGCCTTACATTATTATTGTAAATGAAAAGGCAACATTACTTGCCATTCATAGTAGATAGTAGTGCAAGTAAATTCAGTGCCAAGGAAACGACATGGTTTCATTTTAGCTAACCACTGACACTGGCCACGGCTCTAAGTCCGATGCATGTTTTCTCCGTGTACCAGGATTCAGAGAGGTGTCAAAGACCCACTAGCATCCACCTCCCTGAGACATTCTCTTTAATAGGTTCCGAAGACTAAAGAGAAATGAAAAGGGAATGCGTTTTCCACCATGTGATTCGGTGCTGTGTTTGAGAACTGTTCACGGTCACCTTGCGCACCGTCCCAGAGCATGTCACATCCCACCAGGTGGAAGCATCTCGCAGCTGTGGGAAACACCACCCGATCTCGGGCAAGCTGCTTTTAAAATTCAGACTTTGAAAGGTAGAACATTTGCACAGTTCAAAGACCGAGCAGTGCGCAAATGCACACAGAGAAAAGTCTCTTCCCCGCCTGCC